CTATTTATTCTTCATATTTGATCATTTATCGAATCACAGAGCAGTTCAGTCACAGTGTGGTTCTAAATATAAGCAAGTTACTGTATATTGTGAAGATTGAAATTTACAAATATGACATAGCTGGGGGTGGGGGGACACTAAGCGGAGACTTGTCTTTTCTATAATACGGGACAAACAAAAGTTCATCTGTTAGAGTTAATGTTATTTCATTAGAAGAGCTGAAACAGTGGTTCAGCCTGTGTGCACCTCAGCGCGCTCCCGTAACAGCGCTGTCGAGGAGAGGAGTTTGGTCACGCGAGCAAAGTTGGACATAATCTGTTAGATAACGATGCTCTGAACACATGAATTTATAGTCCGTTAGATTTTAGATACCAATGTCTCGGGTAGCTCGGGAGCAAAGTGTGGAGGACGGGGACTGGGGTTTGCTCACTCAGGACAGGAGCTGCAGGCTGACCGGTGTTTATCCTGCAGACTGCTGCTCCGACATCAGAAAGCTCCGCCCTGCTCTGCTCTGATTGGATAAAGCTGTGGCTTTCATTTGATTTGTTAAAAGCAGCGTCTGTTTAAACCTGTTTCAGACTGGGTGGCTTTAACGAGACCGCAGCAGAAAACAAACAGGTTTCTCTTTTCCTCATTTTTTAAATACCGACATGGGCAAAATGATGTCAGTTATCGTCATAAATGTCGGTATCAGTTATTTTTCAGTTTATTGCCCAGGCCTAATGCTATTGTTGGAAAAATATGCGTTGTTCAAAATGGTATGTCCGAATAAACAGGATTCAGTTGGATTTCTTCATTAAAACTTTATTTTCAATCTTCTGACTCCGATCAGGTTCATACAGCACTCAGCACACAGGCCTCAGTCTTGGACTGATATCAGGAAAACCCAAACACAGCAACACAACTCTGCTCAGAAGCAGAGACTCTAACACCCTGACAACTTCCTCTCTACTATAATAATGAAATGAGCTTATAATGTTCATCTCTTCCTGGTTACACCCCAGAGGTGTTACCTTTTACGTCAAACATCAGAACGTCACTCAGTTTTGTTTAGGCTAAGAGAAAGAACACATGATAACACACCAACTCTTATTCTGTTATGGCCTTGAAGAAGTAATGATCAGAAAGTATAAAATACAAAACTGAATCTAATATTCAGTTAATCAGTTACAAAATGTCATCACTATGTTCACACCGAACGCGTTTTAAGCGTCCAAAAAGCACAAAACGCCTCTCGTTGGACACACTATGTTCAGACCGGAGAACGCACTAGTGTTCAGACCAGAACAAGCAGCAGCAGCGGCTGGCGCGGTGTGGGAGGAGCGTGTCCTCGGCGGGTGAATAAAGATAWAATCGAAGAAAATGGCTTTGATTTATTTYCTAAAAAGCAAGCGAACGTTGAGCACAGCAGATAATTKACTCACCAGARGATTTAGAGGCGATTTGTTCGGTTAYTTTCGTCACTCCAGAAGCTGCCAGCTGACATACTTTTTTTATTTTTTTGTCCTGAGCAGCTGATCCACATCGGTGCTGATATATCCTGCTAGAAAATCCAAATGCACACAGTCGATTTCAGGTAAAGATCTCCAGTCCGTCTGTTTCGGTTTTTAGTGGGAGACGCGTCGAGCGGCGAAAAGTTCAGATATTTCGCTCTGGCGGCGGCTCTGGTGGCGGCTGCTTCCGCAGCACCGCATGCGCGGAAAATGCTCTGCGCCCCTTTCGCCTTCTTTGCGCGTCGCCCAAAACGTACGTGACGCGACGCACGACCCCTAGAGGCGCGTCCACATAGACTTTGTATGTGAATTGGCCGCTCCTGCCGCTCAAAACGCGTTCGGTGTGAACGTACCATAATGTATGTAGACACAACTGGGGCAAGAATCCGCTTCCTCAGAGGTTTTTTTTTAGGACTAACCACTGTGGCCTTTTCAGAATAACTTAAAATATTAATCACATTACTAGCTCATTTTTATTTTGTGTGTGTGGTCCTCTCGTTATGTTTCTTTAAGTATACAGCTTTCCTTATATCATTCTGTCAGGTTTAGTTCTGGACTTGGACTGTAGCTCAGTACCGTAATTATTTTTTTGTCACATTCTGTTGTAGCTTACCTGCTGTGTTTAGAATTATTGTCCTCCTGCATCATATCCAAGTTTCATGTCAGACAGCCTCACATTTGAATCTTGAATTTCTTTGGTCTGATTGGTTTAAATGACACTGATATCACTGCCACCACAGGCTTCAATGACCCATGGCAATACTGAGATATTGACTCCACWTTTTCTCTACTTCCTTTTTCATCCCCTATATTTTATTAGTATTTCTCCAGCCTTTTATATTTTGTCATGTGTGAGCGTGTGTGAGTGTGTGTCTGGCCCATAAGTCAATGCTTCAAACTGTGTGTATGTGTGTGTTTCAGGTATCCGGCATTGTGGGAAGAGCTGATGTTTTGGCCTGTTTGCTTTTTTTGCTGACATTTCTCTCTTATGTTAGGTAAGACAATTCTTGTTTGCAACGGTTTAATATTTTTATATAAGGTTCACACGCCGGAACAATTTCCAAAAATGTTTCTCTATGTCTGACAGCATAACAAATAGGGGTGTAAGAAAATTTTGATGCACTGAAATATCGCGATATTTCATTTCCAGATACTGTATCGATATTGTAAAGCCCTGTATCGATTTTTTATTAAGTTTTAAAATGTAAACTTTCCTGCCAGCCTTTCATTTTTATGTTGTAGTTCAGCCTCTGACCACTAGTTGGCAGCAGTGAGCCAGCCATTTGGCTAATCTACCTCTTGAGGTAGAGGCTATTGTTAAGTGTTGGGTGACCTTATTGCTAGTTAATGTTAAAAACTAAAAGCTGCAAAAAATATATTTTCAAACTATTTATTATCAAATTTAGTCTAATAATTGAAAACATGGATGAAATAAGAAATATGAAACAAATAAAATAAAACACATACAAAGCAGAACACAGCTAAATGTATCAAAAGAATGTCTATGTAATATTAGAATGAATTTTGGTTTTTCATTTTTTTTCCCTGTAAGAAGTTTTTATTTAATAGAATTTTTGGACAAAAAACATCGCAATATATCGCCTTGCTTATAGTATCGCAATATTTCGAGATATATCGTATCGTGACCCCTCTGTCATGATATGTATCGTATCGCCAAATTATTGCCAATACACAGCCCTAATAACAAACTATAAATACAACATTTTATTTTATTTTCTCTGGGGTTTGTCTTATCAGTGTGACCGGAAATTCTTTGTAAGAAATCAGGTTGCATTTGCCACCAAATAAAACTAAATACAGTGCATCTGGCGTTTCAGTATACTTGTAAATGTTTATAAAAATAAATATTCACAAATATTATTGTTATAACATCTTAAAGCAGCCTATTATTTTGTGTTTTCCCCAAGGGGGCACAGTGTCTTCAGATTTTGATAAAATATGTGACATGCTTTAATCCAAGTCTCACAGAGATTGTTTGGAGCAGATCCTCTTTCAATCCAGTCTTTAAGTGACCTGGTTTAACAGCCAAAGACACTTGACTCTGCTGCTTCACGATAATGTGCAAACCTAAAACTGGATGCTTTGTGGACTCAGTATTATTCAAAACAAAGTAAACCTGTTAGCTTAGGTTTGAAATCAGGGCCGAGAGTTAGCCACACCTTTTTACCACAATTGGAGGTAGGATTGAACCCAGAATGTAGGCAGACAAGAGGAGCTTAAAGGTAATTTTAAAGAGAGCTTCTATTAATAACACAAGCAAAAAGACTGATGTGGAAGCAAACATTTATGACAGGTATGTATGAGTGGCAACAAATGGTGGGACCAAGACCAGAGCCATGAACAAGAAGAACCAGAACATGACTATATGTTAATCTGCTAAAGAAGTGGTGGCAAGATGCAGAATATAAAAAACTAGGTAGAAGATAATCAAAGAACAATGMGCAGGTGTGGGTGGCAGAATGGAAAAATATTGGGAAGCTGACTGAGGACAATATGAAACAGGAAGCTAAACAAGAAATGAGGAAAATAAAACACAAGAACCAAACAATAAAGCACCATGAAAAAACTCTAACAAAATGAACCAAAAAACACTGAACAAAAACCAAGGATCATGACACCTTTAACATTTTTTATTTACCGTTATTTATCCAGGCAAATCCAGTTGCGATCACAGATCTCTTTTTCAAGTGAAGCCTGGAGGCAACCTATTGTATATATTTTTGGGGTGGGGGAAACCAGAACCCATGCTAGCACGAGGAGAACATGCAAACTCCACGCAGAAAGACCCCAGGTCTGAACTGGGGATCGAACCCAGGATCTTATTGCTGTGAGGCGTCGGTGCTAACCGGGACTGTGCAATTCAGATACGCACTGTCCTCAGCATTTAGYGGACAGAATACCATTTATACCATTTCTAAAACTTAAACAGAGTTGGCAAAATTATAAACAATGCCTAGTTCTATATAACTGCCAAGTTTCATAATGCTCAGCCCACTAGAACATGATGAAAAAAGCCTCCTGTTGGCAGAAGAAAAAATAAAAATAATAATTAAAAAAAATAATAATAATAATCAGGTCAAAAACAATAGGGCCTTCAACTGTTTCACACTTCTTGGGCCCTAATGATTGGATCGTGGAAAATTTTTATTCCATCAAATTTCCTAGAATTATTGTGCTATATTGAGCTATATTACCTATCTAATACTTGAACTGAATATAATTCTCTGTTGTTTCTCAGGAGTGTGGGAACATGTTTTTCTGAGGACCTCCTTCCCTCCACAGCATCTCTGTTTATCAGTTTGTTGTTGGGAACCTGTGCCATGTTGGTTAAAGAGACGGGTATCACCGTGTTCGGAGTGTGCCTGCTGTATGATGCCCTGATACTCTGCTGCAAGCCTCTCATACAGTAAGCACAACGGCCTTCTGTTTTGTGAGTCAATGACTTGACTTTTGTTATTGACAGATGATGCAATATGACAAGGTGTATGTTAAATTTGCAAAATAAATCCCACAGTGCTGTCATCACAGAAAAATAACTTCAGCACGCAGCTGTAGATTTGAAAACATTCAGTTTAACTTTGGTTTCTTTGCTGAATTCATAACAACTAGTATAGTTTTGGTCCCCATGAATCTTTACAAGTTGTAATATAATTTCAGTGGCATGACTTTTTTTTACTGAACAATTTGTTTATCGGATGCAACCAGTGACTCCACCCCKTAACCAATCAGTGATAGACAGTGTCCGGATGTCAAGTTTTCAGGCCAGCACAGTACACTTGGAACCACAACAAAGTACTAAAAAGGTGTCCGGTTCCACGAATCCTGGATAATGGAAACACATTGGAACCATGAAGAGCCAAGCCGAACCGTGCTGTAGAGGCACTAGTGGAAAAGGAGCATTATATGTTGGGTACCTGTGCCAAGTTGGTTTAAGAGATGGGTGTCTCCATGTTCGGAGTGAGCCCCTACATGTTTTCTGCATTGAATTACTGAATTAGATGTATGGGCCATGTCAGACAAAAGTATTTTTTGTTGTTTTCTTGCTACACTCACACATACTGTCAGCTATGGTCACGAACTTCAGGTAGTGACCAACATAACAAGAACGTGGATGCAAGCAGTTGGAATGAGTTTTCTCTGCAGGGTAGTTGGACTTTCTCCTAGAGAGAGAGTTCAGTTTTCCGGGAGAGACTCAGAGTAGAGCCACTGCTCCTGCACATCAAGAGGAGCCATTTGATGTGGTTTGGGAACCTGAGGAGGGGCTACCATGCACTGGTGCTACTGGACCATCTGACCACCATCAGTAGGCAAGGCAGATGAAGTATCTTACCCAAGGACACYCAGARTGAGACAGCTGGAACAGGGGATCGAACCGCCAACCTACCGCCACCCCGGGTCAATCTTGGTCTTGTTCTTGGTCTCGGAAAAACCGGTCTTGACTCCATCCCTGGTTTTGAASCTCTGACCACTCTTCAGAGGGAAAGAAACCACTGTCAGCATGTACAGTCATTAGTCCATGGACAAGAACAATGACAGTTACCATAAATGCTGGAAAGCCTGTGTCTGAAACTGCTCAAGAAAAAATATTTAATCTTGTTGAAATTTATCAACTGATTTGGGTCCAGATCCAGACAGTAGATCACTATTTGAAGACCCCTAAACTCAGTGGCGGGCCGTGCATTTTACACCTAGGCCTTCAATTGGGAGAGAACAGACCTGCTGGACACGGAGATGCCGGGGGGGTAATGCTGCTGACTGCGGAGTCCGCAGCGGAGAGCAGGGAGGGAGAGGCTGCCAGCTCTGAACATAATAAGTTTAAAATAAAAAAAAATCTATAAGACAGTCCTACATCTGTATGCAAAACGGGAGAAACCTGTCTAATGTACAGACAATCTGTACAACTTGACACAAAGCCACGACTACAAAAACCACAAATAATACACAGAAACGCAGAACAACAGCCTATGCTGCTGKACCTCAGACAGGAGTCTCAGCATCCCCACAAACAGGTGTTTCTGCACCACAAACAGGTGTCTGTGACACACAGACCGGTGTTTGCACCACAGACAGGTGTTTCTGCACCACAGACAGGTGTCTGTGACACACAGACAGGTGTTTCTGCACCACAGACAGGTGTTTCTGCACCACAGACAGGTGTCTGTGACACACAGACAGGTGTTTCTGCACCACAGACAGGTGTTTCTGCACCTCAGACAGGAGTCTCAGCATCCCCACAAACAGGTGTTTCTGCACCACAAACAGGTGTCTGTGACACACAGACCGGTGTTTGCACCACAGACAGGTGTCTGTGACACACAGACAGGTGTTTCTGCACCACAGACAGGTG